GGTTTCAGCGTGGTTTGAGTGTCCCGTTCCTTACGCGATTTCAGCGTGTTTGGAATTTATCTCAGGACGCCTGATGTGCGGGCCTGGGCGGAATTCATCTCAGGTTGCATCGTAGACGCGCTGGGCGGGTTGTTGGACCTCCTCCCACGATTTCAGCGTGGTTTGAGTGTCCTAGCACCTACACGATTTCAGCGTGTACATGCAGGTAGAGTGAGGGTGAGGTGGCTGTCGGAGCATTTTCAGGGCGATTTTCCAGATGATGCTGCAGATGAGTTAGTACAGTAGCATGCGCGAGCATATATTCTGTGGCTTATTGGAGGGGTACTTCTCCCTGATAAGTCACAGAACCTGCTCAAGCTGATGTATTTGCCACTGTTGAGAGACATTGACGTCATCGGCCAATACAGCTGGGGCGCCGCGGCTTTAGCATGCTTGTATAGGATGTTATGTCGAGCCACTCAGGTGGGTGTGACTCAGATCGGAGGACCCCTTGTCTTGCTACAGGTTAGTAAGAATTTTATTACATGTCAATTCATATTGTATGGCATATATCAGTATTGTAATTGCGTTCAAACTATTGCAGATTTGGGCGTGGGAAAGATTGATTCGCATTGCCCCGTCTAGGCGGCAACTAGTTGCTCTTGGTGAGGTTTCCATCGGGCAGGGAGACATGCAGATGCCGGCCGGACCTCGAGGTAGCCGGTGGAGGGTTGACATGAGCCACGAGGTCGTATCGACCCACGTAGTGGTCGTGTATAGAGACCAGCTTGACCGGATGATAGACGGCGAGGTATCAAATTTAAATACCTAAATTTTAATTGTCATATGGACTGTATATGTTTATGAGCGATTTTTAATAGACTTGTCGTTATTGTAGTTTATCTGGCAGCCTTATGCTGATGTCCTCCACACGCTCCCAGACTACTGCCGCCTAGGTGAGGATATATGGATGGCGAGAGTACCACTCATTTGTTTTGACGTGGTTGAGTGGCATCTCCCTGATCGTGTCCTCCGACAGTTTGGTGATGTCCTCCACACGCTCCCACACCAGAAATGCCCTGGGCGTTCATCCAAACAATTTCATTCATTATCATCATCATCTGACATCTCAATATCAGATTCATACATAACATCCATGCTCCAGGCGTAGTAATGGTGTGCATCATCCATTAACCCATCTTCGGCACGCTCATTTACGGTCTTCATTAGTCCGGACCTCTGCAAACGTTGGGTCATGCGATTAACCTCGTCACGGATACGATGCAATGCCCTTTGCAACAACGGTGGAGTGTCAATTGGCATGCGCATGGCTAACCGGCGAGGGAATTTAAGATTAACTTCACGGCATAGCTCAACGAGAACGTTTGCTCGAGTTTTGCGAAATTCCCACTTAGCTCTCATGGTATTGACGGTGGCACGTGAGTAACGCAAATTTGGATTTAATGGGTATTGAAATTCATCTCCATCTGCAACCCAATAGCGACCCATTGCTGAATATAGATCAACCACCGTATATGTCATGATGATATCGCTAGAAATAGCTGTAAAACTTTTGTTGTGGTATGCTACGATATTTATACCATATATACACATTGTAGCTGTATGTATGCAATTTCCTGTTCGATCACATGCATGCCACTGACCTTATCCAGTGCATACAACTGTCAGGACTCGACTTTGTGCAGTCATGAACGAATCAACGGCCTGTAGCATCGGCTATTGTGCCGCAGATGCAGTGATGCCTGTGACTTTGTGCATAATTCCAATGGGCACAGTACGTAGGAGGTATGTGACTTTGTGCAGCGATGTAGGAATGCATCTGACTTTGTGCAGTGATACAGTGATGCGTGTGACTTTGTGCATCACTGCATCATTGCATGTGACTTTGTGCAGTGATGCAATGCTGCATGTCACTTTATGCAGTGATGCAGTAATGCATGTGACTTTCTTACTTTGCCATGCTTGTATACGTTGTGACTTTTTTCTTGACATTACGTGATGCATGTGACTTCTGCAGTGCAACTTACATGCTTTGTTTTTGCCGCACATTTCAGAATTCATCTAAGTCACATTATTACGACTGTGAAAAGAAGCAGAAAATGCTATTATGTTGGTAAAAAAATATGATGGACGGTTGTGTAATCACAATAAGCTATTATGTTGGTAAAAAAATATGATGGACGGTTGTGTAATGAAAATAAAAATCGGATGACTGTGAAGTTCATTAGCTGAAAATAAGATAAAATATAAGCACCAAAGTTCCAATCGTGTTACCTACCAGGTGACCATTTTATTATGTTGGTGAGAAAAACAATGATAGTTTATGAACAATATTACTTTAATATAAAGAAATTTTCAATTTTCAATTTCATTTATAATTTCTCGAAAACACCTATACATACTGAAATCGTCAATTCTAAGTGACTACTTATTGTATTACAAAAGTAAGCATGACAAAATAGTTTCATGTCGCGATGTGACAACTCACTGCATTTTGTTTTATTTGACAACGCACTGCTCGAATATGAAGGGATTGCATTGTGATTCTATGGCCTACAATTATGATTTTCTCTTGCAACCACGTCCGTGACTACATCATAGGTACACAAAGTCACGGGTAA